GAGGAGGTCGAGGCTGAGCAACAGCCTGCAGCCCACGTCCCCGAAGAGCCAGTCGTGGGCAAAGTAGGTGCAGACCACGAAGGGGATGGTGGAGAGGTAGAGGAGGTCAGCCAGGGCGAGGTTGATCACATAGACCCCTAAGGAGCCTGCTGAGCGACCCACCACCCTGCCGGAGGCCACCACCACCGCGTAGATGTTGCCCACCATCCCAGCGAGGCACATAACCAGCAGCACTGCACCCAGCGGCCCCGTGACCGGGCTGTCCCCTCCCAGGACGCTGCCGCCATCACCCCCGCCACTGCTTTCCTCCAGGAAGCTGCCACACTCGGGATCCTCTCCAGGCCTTGCGCTGGTGGGGGAAGGAGCACCAGACATCTTTGGGTGGGGTAAGCAAGAGCAAGTCAGGCTGCCAGAGACCGGGTCCTTCCCTCTGCCTTCCCCCTCACTGTATGGGACACGTCTAGCCTGAACACAAGGGGGAAGAATGGCGACAGTTCAGCACACATAAAGTGCTCCAGAGAAGTCTATTCCTCACCTCCAGCTGCCCAGTCCATTTTGCTGAACTTGTCCATCGAAGCCTCAGTCCGGTAGTTCTCCTTGACCACCAAAGGGTTGAAAAAGGGACACCGCCCTCCCCTTAAAGACCAACAGGTGCAAAATAACCTCTCCCAGCCAGGAAGAAATGTTTCTGGTCTTCACCAGCTCCTGTCTGCTTTTCCTGCATTCACTGGGCCCACAGAAACCAGCTGACTCGGTGGACAAGTGGATTTCTTCTTTTCTCAGGTCTGCATCCTCTCTGCTCTGATCTACTCTGGAGAGGTGAGCTCTGCCCCCCTGAACCAGCCCCTGGTGAGTTGCCTTGCCCACTGCATGGAGGAATGTGTCTGACTCACGGCTTCACACTCCGGTGTGAATGCAGCCCCAGTTTACACTGGGCTCTTAGCCACTAGCTGAGAAGCCATGCTGGCACCCTTCTCTTTCCTGCAGACATGCTCCTTCTTCCCCAGTGCCTTCCTCCACTTTCCCCCAGCTCCCTCGTCCTTCTTGTTCTTTTTTCCCTTTCTTTTTCCCATTTCCCCTTGCACAGTATTCCTCATTTGAAAAAGAAAGACAGGACTCCCTAATGTGGTGAGGTCAGGGAAAGCATCACACCGTGGCTTTAGAAGGGAAATAAGGGCCAACCCTGAAAATGCAAGAGGCAGGGGGCTGCCACACTGCTCTCCATGGCCTTTTCCCAAGCTGGGCTAAGAGAGACTGTCCCTCACTCCCTTCCAAGGACATAAGGAACCCTTGATGTGTAGATAATGGGTGTAGCCCCTGGTTTTGCCAGCAAGCCCAGCAGATGCTAGGATGTCTCACATTTACTATGACCTGGCCCTCTTCTACCCTTGTCCCTCAGTCAGCAGCAAACTGCTGGAGTCTTAAAGGGCTGGATAGGCTCACTCTGTCCTCCCTCTCCCCAAAACCCATCCTCCTCCCCTAAGCCTTTCCCCTCCTTCCCTGGAGCCCCCAAGACCTGCTGCCTCACCCCAGAGCAGGGAGCAGCAGCACATTAGGTAGGCACCATTGCCTTCTAGCGGGACAGCACTGCATGACACCTCTACCCTCACACTTCCCTGCCTAGCTACCCTGCTCTTTCTTCTCCCACATCTGAGCCTCATTCACCTCAGGGAACAGAGTGGGAAAGAATTTGCAGAGCAGGGACAGATGTGCTGTTACCACATGCGCTCTGCTGTTAGTTCTCAGGGGTTTTCAGGCCACTCCAGCCACGCTCTTTCACATCCTTGGTGTATTGGCTTAGTTCTGGCTAAGTTAAATGCTTCCACTCATCTCCAGCAGCAATAACTCAGCAGCAAGCAGGAGCAGAAAGTATCCCACTGCTACTGCCCTCACTGCAGTAGGACCCCAGCACCTTTCTGAACAACGTGCTGCAGCAACAGCTTAAGGATGGTGGTTCCACAGAAGTGGGCATATGGCACACACACCACTGATGGAGGAGCACTTCAGAGCTCCCTCTGGGCTTCTTGGCATGGCTGGGTGACCCTCCCTACTCTTCTTCCCAGTGATCTAAACATGCAGGTTGTTGAGGTCAGGCTTGAGCTTTTTTTCTATGGACTGGCCCATTTTCACAGTATCAGAACTAAGAGGCACCTCATTTCAGAACACAAGCTTTGCAATGGCCTTCAGTTTACAGGACAGTCATGCTTCAAACGGGGAGATCAGCAACCTGCACTGAACATATAATTTTGGGTGAAGAGCTCCATCATGCCATGGCAGCAGGATCAGTGATGCTGCTTCTCAACCCAGAAGCTGATGCTGCCAACAGGTTCTGGTGGTCTCAGCAGAGACAGACCCTCAAAGCAGTGGGAGACAATGACCTTGCCCATTTGGCTCTGATGGGAAGATGCACAGTCCACATGCCCTGGGAAATGCAATTAATTACCAGGGCTCCTTGCTCTCATGATGGGTTTTTCCAAGAAATGATCTCATGCCTTAGCAGTTAGCAGCTCCGCTCATTTAGGAAGTTAAAATAAAATACAATAGGATTTAATTTTTTTAACTTCTCTAGGAGCTAATTACAATACTTTTTGCTTCATTGATCCTAGTTAGCACCCCGTAACACACTAGATGCCTACTCTCAAACTGCCCACATAGAACTGCAGACACATCAGATTCTACAGTCATCAGCAGAACTCAGCTGGTCCTTCCAGCATGTGAAACACAGCTCTTAAAGCTCTCCTGGGAGAGCTATTTTTTAAGATCTGAATCATGGGTTGAATTAGTGGTTAGGGCTAACTGTTACTAGAAGAACATGAGCATGCAGAGTTCTTACCACTGCATAAAACTGTATGTGTATGTAATATACAACACACACATCTGTAACGTATAGGGCAGAATGAAAGTGCCAAGCCTTTGATGTACAGAGAACGAGGGAGCAGAGATCCATGTATTACTAACTTCAGACATCAACCTCTGCGCTCCAGTAAAGCCAACAGAGAGTCCAAAGTCTGTCCCAGACACGCCATAGGCTGCTCTTTGCCAAACCCATCCGCTCTCCTTTGGTTTGACTGAAGACCCAAATTTGACAGCTAAACTTCAACGGCATGAATATCCCTCACAGTTATCTTCCCCAGGGCAGTATTCCACCTCCCACCACTTTTTTGTTACATGCACACACACACAATTATCCACATACACACAAGTATACACACACATCGGTTTTGAGCAGATCTCTTGACATTTTCTGTAGCAATCAGAGGAAGGTCTCCACACAGATGTGGCCTGAAGAAGCTTTCAAGCCCACACACAGCAGGAGGAAACAAGACTCACATTTGGCTGTTGGATTATATCTTTTAAGTGACCTTTCTCAACTACAGCTCTAACTGATCAAATATGTGTATGTTTCACATCTCTGTTGCCAGCAGAGAAGCCTTTTCGTGTCCCATCTAGTCCAGCAGCCCCTGCAACCTGCTGGGGTGTAGCTCCAGGCAGGCAGCTGTTTCCTTGCATAATGTATGTGGCTGTCTGCAGCTCCATGCAGGAGTGATGCTAGGTCCCATGCCCAACGTAGCAAGTACCAAGTTTCCAAGGCCTGCCAGAATCCAGTCAGACCACAGCAATTTAACAGTGAAGGGTTGCGCTGAGGATTCAAACTCACAAAGTCTTGCACTTGAAAGGAAGCAGCTTGATTTGGCCCCCAGAACAAAGCGGACCATTTATGGGGGGAAAAGGTGCTTCAAAGGGTGCTCCAAGAGCACTGTGTTTCTCTGATGTCGATCTCTCATGACAGACCACCCAACGGGGCCAGGTGGAGTCAAGTCATAGCAAGGTTCCAGCACGGCTTCCTAGGATTTGAAGTAGGCTTCAACTGTAGTGAAGGAAAAAGGTGGTGCATTAGGGCAAGACCCTGAACCAGAGTGGGCAGGAGGGGAAGGAAACAACCTCTGAGCACTTACTTGCATATTCCTGTGGTGTCATGGCCTGGTTGATGACGCTAGTGAAGGCTGCGACCCAGTCCAGCTGGTCCGTCTCCGTCTCACAGGTGAAGAGGTATTCCCGGTCAGGGGTGACAATCGTGAGGCCATAGTGCCAAGAGAAGTTTCCCTGTGTCCCTGAAGGCAATCCTTTCTGGACGCTATAGCCATTCTCTCTGCTGCCCACAAACACCTCACCCTTAGCAAATGCATCCTGCACATCAGGAGGGAAAGACAGGGATTTACAGGATCCCAGAAGAATCAGGGAATAGCAGCAGTGCACCTAAGGGCAGGAGCAAGTGAGGATGTAGTAGCAAAAAGATTTGAAGGTGGTCAAGGGATTCAGAAGACTCCTGAGGCTACGCTCAAAGGCAGCACCAGAAAGGAAAAATTGAGAGCACAGATCTGAAGAGGCCTGAGAGAGGAACTGCTACTTCTGCCTCTCCACATGACCCCCTCCATGTCAACTCTCCTCCCCATCACCAACTTACACCACTGCCCTCCCTGTTCCCACTGTTTGCAGACAGTGAAACAAACACAGGAAGTGTGGGATGAGCTAAGTGGGATGAAAAGGGGAAGACCTATAGTCCCTTCAGAGCAGCTGGGGAACCTGCAAGTCCCCCTCACTGCAGAACAAAGACTCTGGCTGCACTTTGACCCTGCCCTCAGCACCGTTGCCTGCAGTTGCCAGAGGTTAGATCTCTCCCTCACCAAAGGGTCCTTGAAGTACATGAGCCTGCGGTGATCCAGCGTGAACCAGCGCTTCTTAAAAGCTTCTCTCTGCTGTGAAGGGAAGAGGTGACATAGGTAAGGGGACAGTGCCCTCTGCCGCGAGCATTTTGAATGGATAACCAAAATTCATCCCAACCACTTGAACCAAGCCCCTGCCTTAACAGCAACCTCCTCCTCACCCTTTCTGAGCTGAGAGTGGGGATCAGTATCGGGTTTTTCAGTCCCAACTGCTATCCCCAACTCTGACTTGTGTGAAGGACCCGAGTTGAGACAGGAGAAATCTAGACGCTAAATACCTGTAAGGTCACGCACACACAGACACATGCAGGGAGATCTGTTGTTCTGGGAGAAAGCAGGGACTCTGGCTTCATCTACTTTCACATGTGTCCTTCCCCTTCCTTTTACTCTCCCCTCCCTTGGTGCACACACACTGTTCCCACGGGTGTCTAAAGAGTCAGGGGGGAATGGGGAAACAGGAGGAGAAAAACATTGAAGTAGGGAAGGTCGGTGGCTCTTTATGAGGTCCCACTTGGATTATTTTTTTTCCTCTCACAGCAGCTCACCTTTGGACCAGTCTTCTCCATGTATCCCTCCTTCAGGAAGTTTCGTGTCAGCCGATTTTTAATCTGACAAAAAGTCAAGAGTAACATTCACTGAGCAATGTTTCTCTGCTATTCACTTTCACCCTTGACCCTTCCTTCTAGTCCCTCAAATTCAGCTGTCTTTTAAATTCATGTGTGCATAACTGCCTAGCCAAGGAGTCACTTCTGGCCCCAAACTTCCCAGAAACAGCAGAGAACAGGCTCTTTTACACACACTTTTTCACCCCTGTGTCCAAACACTGTGTTCTCCACTTCTGTTCCTGGGGATGCAATAATGGGCTTTCTTATCATGTAACCAAGTACAAGTGGGATACTCAGCACTGAGCTCTAGTGCTGCCTTACCTCATTGTCACTGGCAATGGGAAATGCCACCTTCAGGTAATGGAACTGCACAGAGCGAATGGCATTGAACCAGTCCACCACCTCCTGAGAATGGAAAAGGACAGCAGAGGAAGTTTAGCCAGAGCAGCAGGGAGCCATCTCAATTCACCCAGCCCTATCTTAACTTGAAACACAGCCAGCTCTCCCTCCCCAGCACCTGCAGCATGTTCCTCACACACACACACACACACAGCCAGCATGGCTGCCCCATTCTCTGCACAGGCAGCTCAACTGCACATCTTCTACAGCATCTCCTCCCACACAAACTGACTCAGCCAGGGCTCCTTGCCCTGCTCCCTGCAGCAAAACTCTCCCACAGACACACTAACACAGAGACAGAACCCCCACCCTGTTACCTACAGCAACTCACACATGCACACCACCCCCTCCTTCTCATGCTTCAGACTATTTAATACCAGCACCTTCACAAATCACCTCAATTTCTTTGCAGTATTTGATGCTGAAACAAGATACCTTCCCACTTTCATGGTAGACAAATATATTGCGAGTCTTGTTGTCTTTGAGATAGGTGATCTGCAGGCCATTGGGGTTCCCAATCTTTACTGGCTGGAACGTAGCATTGATTACATCTATTTTGACATTAATTTTGGGTTCTTTGGCCTGAGAAAAGAATGGTATTGGTCATGCATGAGCAATCCTAGTAGGAAAGAGACTTGAGCTGACTCAGTGGGGTAAGAAGGGTCAGAGGGTGTTATAAAAAGTAGTAACTACCCCTTCCCAACAAAACTGTTGCAGCACACATTCCCTTCACTGGTGGCATGCTCAAGCCCAAACAGTGGCCAAGCCCCTCACAACTTATATTTGAGCTGTGCCTACTATGGAACTGCCAAGAAGACACTAAGAGTGCATCTGACTTTACAGCTGAGACAGTCTAAAGGCTAACTGACCCCAAAAGGGAAGACCCCATCCCTGCTCCTCCCTACCCCAAGCCATTCCCTCCCTTGCAACAGTATACTAGTACTTGCCCCATTCACCTCAGAAAGATGGACTAGAAGCGTAGCCTTCCTCAAAACAAATCAAACAACCTGGTTTGCCAACTTGGCTCACAGTGGGGTGAAGCTGTTTCCATGGGGGCTGCAGGATTACACAGCCAGATTAATGTATAGAGGTAAAGTGAAAGATCTGCCCTTTTATCACCAGTGAAGAAGGGTATAGGGAAGCACAAAGCAAGAACATGGGGAAAATGTCACCCTGACAGTAGGAAGGGGTTGCCTCCCCTCAGTCACATGTTTCTTTTATCATCCCTGGCTTGGGATGAACACATCAACCTCAGAAACATGTGTAGGAAATAGAAGCATCTCCATGATCCTCCTGCCCTGGGTGGAGAATGCACTGAGGTGGAAGATGACCACCATACTCACATCCTGCTTGGTGAAATATTTCAGACATCCCTCTCTCTCAGACAAGAGAAACTTGCGGGGCAGGAACTGCCCACTGTCTCTGCCTCGCTTCCAGAGGATGCCTTCCTTCACCCCTAGGAGCAGAAAGGTAATTTTTAAGAGAAGTCCCCCACAGAAAAAGTAGGCATCAGAGAGCTGCATGCAGCCTGGGGTCCCAGCCACATCTCTGATAAAAAGCATGTGATGGACTATTGCTGACACCTGAGAAGGAAAGTTATCAACTCTGACATACAAATGAAGATGGCAGTGTTCCTGGATTAGGAGCCCAGAAAAGCAGTCATCAAAAGACATTCCCAGATGCTTCCCACCTCCAAGTCCAGCTCCCACTACTGCCACTTGAGAGCCATTACTTGGGTGAACACCAGAGTGCAAGCCCACGCAGACCCTGACGTGGGAACAGAACTCTTCTCACTTGTCTCTGGAGGCCCGTTAGCTCCTTCACCTTGTGTCACACCCCTGGCAGTGACATTTCGAAGACTGCAATGGTTGGAGGGGGTGGCATGCAGCAAGACAGAAATTCCTTACTGCAGAGGTCTAGCTCCCCCAGGACAGCAAATGCCTTTGAAAAATGCCATCTGGTAATACCAAGCATGGACACAACCCATGGCAGCACTAACCTATGCTGCCTACAATTTAAACTCCCCCCCAAAAATGCCCTGTATCAGCTGGGTGTTTGCAACACTGACACTATGAGCTTTCTCCTCATAGTGTTCAAAAGCTTCCAGTGAAGACAACACGCAGAATATCTTGATGCTGTGCTTTTCCCTTACCATCAGAATATAGCAGCTGCTTTCCTGGCTCAGTGAACTCTTTGCGTTCATATTTGGCCCGTATCCACTGTTCTCTCAGCACTCTGGGGAGAAAGGTGACAGAAATTAACTAGAGGAACACAGAACTGCCCTTCTCCCTTTTCTTCTGTGTGCAGCAACTTACTGGCAGTCACTGTAGTTTGGCTGGTAATAGTAAATAGGGATGTGAGCTTCATATGTGGCTTTAGTCACAGCATTCCCATGCTTGGCCAGAAACTGCAAAGTTAGACAGAGAGTTAGTGCCTTCCCTTTGCTGCAGACTCATGTTGGGTTTTGCCTTCCTCACCCACTACAGGGCTTGATGTACATTGAGCTCTAGGGGAGCCCTGTCTTTCCTGTACGTTGCAACATCCCAGCAAAATCTGGCTAAGGAAAGGTGGTTCTCAAAGGTCTTGTCTGCTCCCAGGATTGCACCTGAATCAACAGAATGCCGTAAGTGTCACGTCCATGGGGCTGGATGCACACACATGCAGTGGGTTTGCTGCCATGCCCCAGATCTCTGGGGGACTGACTTCCATGACAGCTCTGCAGTGCTGTCTGGGAGAACATTCCAAAACTCTTCACTCCTCCCCAAAAAGCAGTGAGATACAGATTATTTTCTTTGGAACTCCAGAAAAATTTTTCAGTCCCCTGAAGATTAGTGGGTTGAGGGGGGTGTAACAGAGAGACACCAAGTTCCCATAAATGCCGTTTTTCTCAAGAGATCCCATGACATCTGGACACTCTTCTCGGAGCATGGGATTGCCCAAGATTTTGCCCTCGGACTGGTGAAACCAAGAGGAGACACTGAGGCTGAGTGGTGCTGGAGAGTGGGAAATGAGTAATCTGGAGCAACAAAGACCCTGAGCCTTGGCAAGATACATTGCAAGAGCTCTGCATTAGCCATAAAGTAACAGGACATGGGGAGACATGTCAGGCAAGTGCACCATCCCTCTCCAGGGATAACTCCCTGGGGATTTATCCTCACTTAAGTATTCACAGCATGAGTAGATAAGGGACTACATATCACATTAAATCTCCAACTCTGAGAATTGTAAAGGGATGATTTTCCCAGAACATGTTAGTGTACAGCCCAGACACAACCCACCTCACATACCAGTGGGGATAAAGATCTCACCTGCACCTGAGCATCATCCCAGTGGTCCATCTTCAGGGATTTGACTTTGCTGATGCTAGGGATGTTGCGATGAATTCCTGAGCAGCTGAGGCATATAAAGACACCCAAAGTAGAGGATGCCCAGTCAGGATCTGAGGGTATAAAAAAGAGTATGTTTAGAGGCGGTCAATTCCCCTGGCAGATACGCCAGGGGGAACTGAGAATATTGTCTGGAGAAACAGAGAGCTGGGTAACCACAGTTTCATCTGAACTGATTAAGAGCCAAGGTACAGGCAGAAAAAAGCACAGCTGTTAGTCCCTCTTTCCCACTGTATCAACCACTTCATCTGAATCTATATTGATTTGAGCCTTGAAAAACTGTGCTCTGCAAACTCTCTTTGTATTAAGGGCCATCCACGATGAAACTGAAACCACCTCTGGGAGAAGACACCAGCAGCTGTTTAGTACAACAACACAAAGCCCCAGCAGTATTTATCTCACTAAGTGGAAAGCAGCCTTGAATCCAAAATTCTCAAGTGCAAAACTAATAAGGTAGAATGGTACTAAGCAGCCCAGTCTTAATTTGGCTTGGGTGGTACACTCCACATGCCCCTTTTGGGAAAAGTAGGATGGATGTTTTTAGCAGCACCTGCAGGACCTCCAACTGAAGACCCTCCAGGGAGGGCAATCCCTTCAGTAGAAGAAAACCCTGAGGCTCCCATGACAGGTTCTCAGTCTGTAGCTGAGTCATGGAGAAGACAATGCCCTCCTGAATCATACCTTCTTCTGTAGCAGTTAGGATTTAACTGGGAGCTTTCCTGTCAGGTCCTGACTGGGCATGACCTTGGTTTGTATTTGAGATCTGACACGATTACAACCCCAGTACTGCAGCTAGACAGGCCCTGCTCACCTGGCACTACTGTGTCCCCATCCTCCTTCCCACCAGCACTGTGGCAGCATCTCCTTCCTCCTCCCTTGCCAGCTCACCTCCAGGGAGGGGAATCGAATATCCAGGCAAAGCAATGCCTCTCCTCCCTCTGCCCCAGGCAGATAGCCAGCACCAAACTACTGCTAGAGACAAGCCCCAGCTCCCTGCTTCTGACTCCTTCTCCAGCAGCCCGTGGGGACTCACCTGGCTTCCCACAGTCTGCACACAGAGAGTTTTCCGCTCTTCTCCACACCTCCTTCAGGGCCTTCACACTCCTCTCATGTCCTCCAGCCATCGCGTCCAAATGCTATCCCTCTGGACAGGGCAGGGCCACGAAGGCAGCAGCTGCCTGCGCCTTCTGCACCTGCCGGGTTGCCCAAGGGAGAAGGAGCCACCAGACAGCCAGAAGCTCTCGCAGCCGGAGGAAAAAGAAGGTAGGAGAAGCCGTACGGCTAATGGAAGGAGTGTGCAGGCCTGATGGTGCACCTGAGGCAGCTCAGCATTTGAGCCGGCTGAGCACAGGCGGGGAAGAAGAGGCTGAAGTGCACCCAGACTGTAAGTGAGGAGGAGGAGGAGAAGCAGGAGACCTGCCCCATGGGCGTGGAGGGAAATGCAGCAATTAACCACAGAACTGGTTTTTCCGCATTTCTGCTGGTGAAAGGACAGGCCAGGAAAAGAGGGCAAGCAGTGAGAAAGCTGATAAAAGCTCTGGACAAGCAGCCCCTAGGCCATGTGAGGATTCTGTGGGCTGGGAGGGTTGGCTTTGGCTGCCCCCAGAGCTTCGAGCTTCGGGAGCTTCCACCAGCCTCAGCCGGACACCACACAAGATTACACCCATTTTTAGGGTGAGGACTGGAGGGCAAGTAAGGTTCAAGAGTTCAGCCAAAGTCACTCCAGCCACTGGCCAAAAACACAGCAGTCCTGATGCACCCACCTACTCCTGCTGGCACCTCTTTCCACCATCAACTACAGAAACCTTAGCTGTTCAGCAAGACCCAGTGTGAGAGCTGAAACATGTCCCCACACTTGCCTCCCCCAGCTAAAAGCAGCAGAGGTGCCACCTAACACCAAGCAACGACAATAGCTTGAAACAAACTCAAGACGCTTATTAACGAAACGCAGGCACTAAATACTGGGAGGAAAAACCTTTTATAAGGAGATGCATCCCCAAGAGGAGCGGCAGAGCGGGTCTCGGGGTGAGAGACTGGGTGCTGCGCTGTCTGCACAAGGCAGCAGGAGGGAGCTGAACAGGAGCAGAAGCTGGGAGCATCCGAGCCTGGAGGACATCCCTGCCTGCCAGGGCTAGCGGCAGACGCC